AATTTCGAAACATAAAAACTGTATATCAGCATTATGTAGAACATTTGAAAACCATTAATAAAGTAAATAGTCAGTTATCGTTAAGAGTATTCCGTAATATTTTTAAAAATAGTTTCAATTTAKACTTTCATTTACCTAAAAAAGATAAATGTATCTTATGCGAGAATTACAATAATTTAGACACAGAATCCAAAAAGCAATTGCATTATTCAGAAGAGTATCAAATTCATCTAAAGGACAAAGAGAAATGTAAGCAAATATTTTTGGAGGACCAAAAGCTATGCAAAGAGAATCCGGCTTATTTATGTACAAGTTTCGACTAGCAAAAGGTCTTAAATACTCCCTATGGGAAAAGTGTTACTTTGTTCTATTCTAGAAAATATTCATGCTACAATGAAAGTTTTTATGAGAGTGGTACAAGAGATGGGTTTTGTTTTTTATGAGGAGAAAAGGATGGTAAACGAGTTTGTAATGAAATGTGCTCAAATGTTTTCCAATACCTTAAATTAGTCGATGAAAGAAAAACCCTGTCGATAGTCCATCTTTATTGTGATAGCTGCTACAGGACAGAACAAAAACAGAGCAATGCTTGCGACATTAACCTATTTTGTCGAAAATTCTAATTTTGTGACTAATATAAAAATTACATACTTGTTGCCTGGACACACTACACGCTTTGCGATAGAAAAACTATACCCGTAAAATTCCAACACGAGTATGTAAATTTAAAATGGGATGCATCTGTTAAAGATTTGCTACCTGAAACCGACCAGGAAGATAGTATTTAGCGTTCTTTATATATTTTTATCTATCGTTATTCAAGTTTACAGCATTTTAATATGAATAACATTACTTTGTTAACAGAAAACTTTAAATATATGATTTACCTTACTGTATTTTTGTTTTATCGAATATACTAAGAAAGGTATGCATTTATTTTTTTAAATCAAATGTAATTTAATTTTAAGAACTAAGTAAAAAAATTAAATAAAACAAAACGGGAAGTGACTTCCTTAAAATAATTTTTTTGTGTAACCCACACACTTTTTTAATAATAGGTTGCCAGAAGGAAAGCAAAAAAATTTATCCCACAAAAGCAACCGTTATGATGCAAATATCTATTTAAAATTTTTAAAATTAAATGTATTACACAAAAAAATATTTACATTATAAATTTTAAAATAATGGCTTTATTCAAACTGATTTAATTTAAAAAAAAGTTTACCTGTAAAATTTCGAGTTTGTGGGATTTATTTTTTCGGCGGTTATGGCTCGATATTATAACAAAACAACATATAATGATAAATAGGATATCATTATATATAAGGTATGTTTATTAACAAAAATAAATAAAATATGTAACCACAAATGTAATTTTAAAAACTGTCAATGGTCAATCTTTGGTRATTTTTGTTGCCAGTCAGGGCATACTTAAGGAAAATTATATTAAAAAGTTACACAAGTGGTGACGTAAAGTCTGAGAGGCCCATTGTGAAGTTTATGTCGATGTCACTTACCGATATGAGACAATACGACGCAGCTGTCAATTGTACGGCGGGACGTTGAAACAAAGGAAGTGCGGGGAAGGGGATGAAATGATGTTTCACTGACTCCGCTCGSCCTGTGAGACCGCTTGTCACCAGTTAAAGGTTAACATAAAAGCTTGAATGTGCAAATACATATKTACGTTTGTACGATATACCGAAAGAAGTAGTGACTAATCCGCTAGCACGTTGCCTAAAACATTCAAGTAATACAAATTCTTCGAATTCACATCAAATCAATATTGGCCTTTGTTTTAAATTAAAGTGACATTCCACTTGGCACAACTTCTGCTTTGAGCTTGTGTACGACTAAGACTGTGGGCAAATTAGTAGCTCTTTTCTCTATGTTGGTTTGGGGATAATCGTTTTTACTACTCGTATGATGCACGTTCATATTTTACAGAAGAACCAAAAGAAATAAAGAAAACAAGTAATACCCCAATGACAGAAAATATATAACACATTAGTTTTCCACATAGAATTCCTTTCTGCATTGGCGGCCTTCGGCCGTGCGTCAAAAACTAATCGTCAGATAGACCAACGGCAGGGTGCGCGCTTCAAAAAAATAACCCTCGGTCGGACCAGCACCGGRGCGTACTCAGTTTTTTTTCGTTGAACTCCTTTTTGCTCAATCCAACAATGTGATTTATCAAGATAATGAGAATTCTGAAAGATTTTACACTACTCATCATACGATAATGAATTTAGTTACGACGTCATAATCTTTCTTTTTTCTTATTTTTATTCCATTACAAAATATGGTAACACTATTTTTTTGCTTGTTTACAACCACTTTCTTATTTTATGAATAAATGGATTTTAACTAAAGTTTGATATGGAATTTAAGTTATTATTAAGTATTGTTAGTGGATATAAAAGTATAAAATATAAGTGTAAAATGCATTATAAACCGGAGAAATACGCATTTTAAATAGTTGATTTTTTGAACTTTAAATGCAAATATCTCAAAAACCGTAAGTCAGCGGCAACTACATGTATACATATTCTTGATCTGGAGGACCTCCGTACATATCCATTTCAACYCCGAAATCCGGGGATGCTATTCTAAATCGCAGCCAAATTAATTTTCAATACATTTTWTTCATATTAAAAATAAAAATGTACAAAATGACCGTTCAAAATCACTTCATCGAAATGATTTGAAGCTGATCCACGCTAAATCGCTCTGTGCGACTCTTATTTTGTGCCATCTACTTGGCAGCATTGAACATCTATTACATTATCACAGCTGATTTAGACACTACAAAGGGAAAAAATGTAAACAAACAATTTCTTTTAAAGCAATGAATGTAATTTCACTTGAAAATCGACTTAACAAATGAAAAAATGCATCCATTATTTCTATTATATGGAAAATATTTAAAAAATGACGGCTTTTATTTCAAAATACTATGTGACAATCTTTTCCTTTCATAAATATTAAGCGATGTGAATTCTTGAATGACAATAACATCTGTTTTTTGATCTTTCTAATGGCAGTGAGAACTCTGTTGGGTCATAGATAACGTTGGGTTATAAAATGCTTAAATGTAATCTAATCTTTTAAATTTTCGACCTGAACATGGTATAAAGAAGCTCCAGGATATGATTGAGCTTTTTTGGTAGAACGTTGCTCTCTAGTAGGCTGGTAGATCACTTATTTTCAAACGTGTTTGATTGCAGGAATGGGTTTGGATGTTCGCAAAGTTTACGAATATATCTCATTCTGCTGGCCTCTATATCCTTCTTTACCATAGGAATATCAAAATCTTTATGAATGTTTTGATTACGCATGTACCATGGTGAACACGTGATTGTTTTAAGTATTTTGTATTGGAACCTTTGTATTGTATCAGTATTRGTTGCACAGTTGAATGCCATACATTAAAATCGTTTTTATGATTGCATTATATAACAGAACTTTATTGTTTACGCTAAGTTCAGAATTTTTGTTTAAAGGCCAATTTAAATTTGATGCTCTTAACTTCATGCAAGTTATTTTACTCGCTATATGTTTTCGCCACGTGAGCCTTCGATCCAGGTGAATTCCAAGATATGTACGTTACTTCGTTCGCTTGGTGTACTAAGACATTGTTTATTTTAACTGTCTGACACGTTTTTAGTCTAAGGTAGAATGTAACATGCTTGCATATTTCTCATTATTTTTGATACGGCAGTTGGCTAGCCATTCTTCGACAAAAGTTAAGTGCTGCTCTAATACTCCTGATGSACTGATGATTTGCTACGGCTTACTAGAGCTGTGTCATCGCGAAAGTGGATGTTAATATGTTGATAGCTGTTGGAATGTTTGCTGTATATATTATGTACAGAGTTGGGCCTAGCATGCTACCCTGAGGTACATCAGCCCTTATTGCTCGTTCTTCTGATATGAAGTCTGCTTCTTTAACTGTAATTTCCTGTTTCTTAAATATGATTCTAAATTTGTATGAAATTCGTAAGGTACAACGTTTTTGATTTTCCATAAAAGGCATTAGTGCCAGGCGTTTTCGAACGCCTGAGCTACATCTAGAAAAGTAGCTAACAGTACTAGTCTTGATAATGTGCGACTTTTTCCATGAAATTGGATATTTTGATATATATATATATTGGATAAATTGGTATCCGAAAAACAAATTGCATTAAAGAGCAAGGAGAGCACCGTTATAGCAATATTTGGTAACTCAATTAGCATTTTTGGAGTAATATTATAGTGTTCTGATGCCTTTTCGGATTTAGCTCACAAATTCTAGTAACCTCAGAAGTAGAAATCTAATAGACACAAACGTCTCGTTAGCGGTATTGGTCAAAATTAGCAACTTAATGTTGTTCTTTGGGCAATTAGGCTGAAATGCCTTTTCTAAGTGATTTGCAAAGTATTTTCTTTTCTTCATCACTAGGGCCCAATTACCATTCAACTGTCTTAGAGGCATGTTTGTATCTACTGGTGTCTTAAAAGACTTTTGAAATTATTTTACTTTTATTTTTGGGTTTTCCAAAGGGAATTGCTAGAATTTGGACATAGTTTCTTTACAAAATTTTCAGTGTTGTGTTCATCCTCGCGTTTAAGCGCTTTTATAATTTACGTACAKCAGATTTCAGTTGAAGCAGAGTTCAAGGTTTTTAAATAACAGGACCAAAATTCAAACGATGCAATTACGTTTCTTTTGTCTGTCGAAATTTTACTTTCCATTTTGCACAGAAAAATGTAAAATTTGTTTACATCATAGTAAAATTTTTGGACACAGAGAAAAAACTTACCGTTTGGCACACAGCCTTAGCAAAAATAAATAAACGTGACCTTTGAAAAAACCACTGTTTTAAAACCAAATTTKGTTTATCTTGTCAGAGTTCGGCTTAAAAACGATGCGTAACCCGATTAAAAAGTTGACATGTAACGAATCCAAGTGGTTGGAAATAATTTTAGAGTAAATTAAARAAAATAAAATATTATTGTTTTTGCTTAACATCGGAATTATTTATTTCACACTGTGACAAATTCAAATACATATATTTTTAATCAAAAGTATATCCTTTAATAAGTGTGGTGTTCTCGGTAAAGGCGCCGCATAAACGTACTTCTTCGCCTGTTACAACAGCCCGTAAGAAATGTGGTCCTGCYAGTTCATTCGCTCGCACTCGCAAAACATATTCTTTCGTTACCAAATTGCTGTGCAATTCACTGCCATAGGATGTGATAATATGTTTACCAATGTCCTCTGCATTATTTATGCTGCAACTGTTTTGATTTTCAATCATTTCTTTAAATTTGCACTTAATTTCTTCGAAGGTTATATTATCTGGATACCCTGTTAGTTGTTCAAAGCATTTATATTGGTAGAACTGAACTTCATATTCCTCAAGTCTCTTAATTAGACCTTCCATTTTTGATTTCGTTTGTTGAATATCAAAAACCTSTGTGTCATCAGCGCGTGATATGTGACACAAATCATTAAGTAATGCTTCAATTTTATACTCGAAAAGGTCTAATATTTTCTCAGTTTCTAAAATACCCTTTTTAATTTAATAAAATGATTAGAATTACTAACTAAACAATTTCATTATATGTATATACATGCCTTAAACTTTATTATCGCTGAATGCAGTACCGTTATTATTACCATATCATATATTTCAGCTATATTTCTAGTTTCTAAATAGGATAAAACCTTTAGCGCTTCCGTTGTTTCATCAAATAAACGTTTCTATCGGGTGAATTATACAAAGTTTATGTTTTCGTTTTAAGAAAAATTACAAATGTGGTTGAAAATGTATACCTGTTTGTTAGCTGCAACCGGTTGGGCCTGTTTCCACACTGTTTGCCAAGTATTGCCAGGAATTCGCATGCGCGCGCTCAATTGTCCCACTCCGAACTCATCTAAAAAATATAAAATAACAAGAAAGCACTAAGGGTGGGTGCGACCGAACATTTTGTACTACAGAGAAATATTTTAATTGCAAAACGTCAAACAGAGGCTCGAAATTCAAGCCATTTTAAATATAACTCTTATATCCGTACTCACAGGCACATAAGCTTCCTTAAAAAAACGGAAATCGTTATATGCTTTTCTAAAAGCACATACCTTTTATCATGCCACGTACTAAAAAACTAATCATCTAGAGTAAWGTCAGCCGGATGTTCGAAAATTCTGATATTAATTATACTCGTATAGGGGCTAGGTCAAGTTTTTATCCAATTTGTATAATTTTAGGCACGATGATACAATGTTATCAGTGAAACACGATCTCTCATTTTTATTGAGATAACTCATATCACCCGGAAATTCGAACATCTTTATATAAGGTATATGAGGGCTATTGCCCCGATTCAATCAATTGTTGACATACCGTTATAAGAGAAAGATTATCCTACAATTTCAATTATATATCTTACGACATTGACCCATATATTCGATCAAAAGTCAATTATAGATACCGTTGTCCAAATATTCGGTACATATGGGCTTGAACAGCTTTTTTGTATTTGAACAATTTTTGGTCATAAGGTTGCATACGCTGAAGGCATTAATCCGGCACAGTTTTATCACGTTACATTCATTACTTCTTGATTTGTGTACTGTAAATTGAAAGAATATAGTGGAATTTAAAATTGTGTTACATGGGAAGTAGGCGTGGTTGTAGTCCGATTTCGCACTRTGATATAGAAATGTTATGTAACAAATGTTGTCGAAATGGGTTTGTCAGGTCCCGAGATATGGGGATTCACCAAAAAGTGGGCGGTGCCACACCCATCGACCAATTTTCACTCGGACACCTATAAAGCCCTCTCATACCCTCTCTGAGGTAAAATTTAATGTCTCTAGTGTATTTATTGATTTATTGCGCTTTTAGTAGTTTTTAACAGTACCGTTATATTTTCACACTGTCGGTAGAAGTTCKTATAAGATTTGTACTCAGTAAATTTAGTTGATGTAGCTTGAGTGGCTTAGGGGATATATTATATACTTTAAACTTATTAGAGGACGGGGCCACGGTAATTTTTTTTTTTTTTTCAAAAAATTTGGCCCACAGGTGCCCCTTGCTACTGCGATCCTCAGTATCAAATTACAGCTTTATATATCTGAATTTAATGCTTAGTTATGGCACTTTATGTGTTATGTTAATAGCGATATGTGGGCGTGGCAGTGGTGCGATTGAGTCCATCTACGAACTCAATTTTTTTTACTAAGGAACCCACATACCAAATTTCATCGAAATATCTTAATTTTTACTCAAGTTACAGCTTGAACGGTCGGACGTATAGGCCTACAGTCAGCCGGATTTCAACTTTTCTCGTCATCCTAATTATTTATATATAATAAACCCTATATCYATCTCGATTTAGRTGAACCGTTAGATGAACAAAACTACACAGAGTATTTCCACTGGTTGCAGGAGTATAAAAGAATATTTTTAGTTTATAACAGCTGGTCTTCGAAATACAACTTTACCTTTTTCCCAATCCTTCGGACTATACCAACGTATGAAATCCTCCATTTTTCCCTTTGGATTCGCTGCTTTAAACGCCTCCATATCAGAGAGTAAGGAAAAGGACATCATTTGAATTTTGAAACCTATTTGATTCAAAATAAAGAGTGAATGAGAAAAAATATGTTTTAACATTTCCGACCTGAACCCAGTTTCAGCATAGCCTCTGCATCGGCTTGCAATTCGTCCTCTGTTTTTGGTACAGGATCTTGTGTTATAGGAATGTACAAAGGTTCGTCACTATCCAATATATTTTCAYCTCCCAATCTCATTGCGCGCCCTTCTGGAACATATTCTGTACAATCAAAGAACTCATCTTCAGTTTCATTGCCTGTTTCATCAGAAACTTCTTTGAAGTTTGTACCCACTATCCCCTCAGGATCAATATTACTGCCGACGTCGCTTAAATACTTTTTGCTTTCATACTTTCGGCATTTGGAACGCTCAATGCAATAGTTAAGCATTTGCAGTTTTTGGTTTAACAGACAAGTACGCGTATCAGGAAACCCTCCAGAAATTCTAATACAAAAAAGGAGTAAATTTAGGATAATTTTACAATGACCATTTGCTAATAATATTATAAACAAGAAAATATGTACAAATGTACTCYTCTACTGCGGAAGATTAGTGGATTGTAGTTGCCGTTACGCTTTCGTTGGACATTATAACAGGATTATTATGTGCGGAAGGCAACTCTGACTTTAAATTTTTAACTTTATATATTTTTCTTCTTAATTGCCGTAGACACCGCTTATGCGATTATAGCCGAGTTAACAACCACGCGCCAGTCGTTTCTTCTTGTGGCGCCAATTAGATATTCCAAGCGTAGCCAGGTCGTTTCCACCTGGCCCTTCCAACGGAGTGGAGCTCTTCCTCTTCTTTTGCTTCCCCCGCCAGGTACAGCGTCGAATACTTTCAGAGCTGGAGTGTTTTCGTCCATTCGGACAACATGATCTAGCCAGCGTAGCAGATGCTTTTAATTCGCTGAACTATGCCAACGTCGTCATATATCTCGTACAGGTCATCGTTCCATCGAATGCGATATTCGCCGTGGCCAACGCTCAAAGGACCATAAATCTTTCGCAGAACTTTTCTCTCGAAAACTCGCAACGTCGACTCATTAGTTGTTGTCATCGTCCAAGCCTCTGCACCACATAGCAGGACGGGAATTATGAGTGACTTATAGAGTTTGGTTTTTGTTTGGGGCTTTGCTTCTCATTTGCCTACTCAGTCCGAAGTAGCACCTGTTGGCAAGAGTTATCCTGCGTTGGATTTCCATGCTGACATTGTTGGTGGTGTATACGCTGGTTCCAAGATAGACGAAATTATCTACGACTTCAAAGCTATGACTGTCAATAGTGACGTGGAAGCAAAGTCACGAGTGCGACGACTGTTTGTTTGATCACAGGAGATATTTCGTCTTGCCCTCGTTCACTGCCAGACTCATTTGTTTTGCTTCCTTGTCCAGTCTGGAGAAAGCAAAACTAACGGCGCGGGTGTTGAGGCCGATCGGGATACGCCAGCAACTATATAATCTTAAAGAAGATGGTACCTTCTCTATTTAGTTCAGCAGAGCTCGGAGAGGTCCTTCCCGATTCTGACGGAGCTTTTGGTGCTGCTGAACGTCAGCTTACACAGCCGTATAAGTTTTGCAGGGATACCAAATTCAGACATCGCGGCATAAAAGCAGCTCCTTTTCGTGCTGTCGAAAGCAGCTTTGAAATCAACGAAGAGGTGGTGAGGGTCGATTCTCCTTTCACGGGTCTTTTCCGAGATTTGGCGCATGGTAAATATCTGGTCGGTTTTGATTTCCTTAGTCTGAATATGTCCAATCAGTTCGTTGACGGTGGGCTTTAATCTTTCACACAATACGCTCGATAGAACCTTATATGCAATGTTGAGGAGGCTTATCCCACGGTAGTTGGCGCAGATTGCGGGGTCTCCTTTTTTTGTGGATTGGGCATACCACGCTTAAATTCCAATCGTTGGGCATGCTCTTGTCCGACAATATTTTACAAAGAAACTGATGCATGCTCCTTATCAGTTCTTAGCCACCGTGTTTGAATAGCTGGGCCGGCGATCCATCGGCCCCCGCCGCTTTGTTGTTCTTCAGGCGGGTAATTGCTATTCGAACTTCTTCCTGGTCAGGCAATGCAACGTCTGCTTCATCGTCAGCAGGGAGAAGTGTTCCCTTCACAATTTAAGTATGCTCTGGGCATCGGTGACTAGATCACTACAAGAGTATGCTCCGGTCTTGAAACCTTCTGTAAGGCGCCGCATTTTTTCGTAGAATTTTCGAACATTACCCCTTTCGGCCAGCTTATCAAGTTCTTCGTACTCACGCATTTCGGCCTCTTTCTTTTTCTGTCTGCAAATGCGTCTCGCTTCCCTCTTCAACTCTCGGTATCTATCCCCTCCCATACGTGT